AAAATTATAAAAAAATTATTAAAATTACATAAATTTTTCCTGTAAAAGGAATTGTTTTCAATATTATATATTGATATGTGTTCACCATCTTCTTGAGCGTATTTCATAATCACATCACTACGCTGTAACGTCTTCCAAGCTTCATAATAGCAATTCTTAAGGAAACAAGACCACTTCAGCTCGTGTGTTGCCCTCGTCAAACGAGTATTTCCTAGCATCATTATTATATTGATATAAAAGGCATCTTTAACGGAGAAAAAAGTATTTATATTACGTTTCTTTATTTGTCATCAATATTATATATAATATTACTTATAATATAATATAATATTATTTATAATATTACTTAATGAAGTTACAATCAGACTTCGCGTTTAGAGACAGAGAAAGCTCATACTATAAATCTAAGGATTTTAAATGAAAACTAAATTTAACAAACAGTTTCTATAATTTTTTAAACAGCTGATTGAATATTTCGCAATTGTGTAAATTTTGCGATGTTCGATAGATTGATTTCTAAACACTATAAATTTTCAGATAATTTTCAAAAATACCTAAAATGTTTTAACATATTTTTTATTTTTAATAAACAATTTTTTAAACTAAAGTAATATTTCATTTTTTTATAAACATAATGTGAAGATCATAATTTTTTTAATATTTGCATGTACCAGCATATTTATATTTTCAAATCTCATTTATAATAACAAGAGTGATGTATTTCATATAAGCTGTCATATCATATAATAAAAGCACTTTTTCATTATAATTTCATATTTTCAAAAAACGCTTCTGTCACAACAATACAATGTTTATTTATATTGTATATCACGCAATTGTTCTCGACTATCACATAAGTTTATGAATATTATGATAATTATAATTTTACATATATTATTTTATAAATAATTTTATCATTTTAGGAAATATTAGTATTAAAATTATGATTTGCGATATATTTTGGATAAATATAATCTCTTTTTAAGAAGACTTGTTGAGTATTATGTTAATTCAATGATGCACATATCATTGAATTAAAATATCGATACGCACGATGCAACAATCCCCATCTATACTGATACACGACAATAATATGATACGCAGATATGTAACAAATCTATAGCCGTCTTTAAATGTTACATAAATTCAAATTTAATACAGTAATGT